AGGCGAAAGCCGAGGCGAAAGCAAAGGCGAAAGCCGAGGCGAAAGCAAAGGCGAAAGCCAAGGCTCAGGGCAAGCCTAAGAGCAAAGGGAAGCCTGAGGCCAGTCCAAAGGCCGACGAGGAGCCCGAGCAAGCGAAGGGCCCAGAGTCAAGCGAGAAGCCGGACACCTCAGAGAAGGCAGAGGTCGACCCAGGGCAGTCCAAGGTTTCAGCTGCCGAGAAGCTTCGCCAGCGGGCCGGTGCTCTGGTCGCTGACTTGCAGGAGTCCGAGCCAACTGAGGGTGCACCGACCGAGGAGCTGCGGGACAAGAGGAAAACGAGGCACTTTGAGAAGCACCTGCACGAGTTGCCAGCCGCTGTGCAAGAGCTGTGGAAGAGCAAAAAAGTTTCCAGGCAAGACAAGACCAAGCTGGTCAACAGCAGTGTGGAAGCGGGCGACAAAGGCTGGCAGCTGGTGCAGCAGAACCCGGTCTTCGAGTCGCTGTCGAAGGTGTACTCTTCTGTGTTCGGAAAGAGCAAGGAGAAGACGTATCCTCGAGCCATCATGATTGGGAAATGCGGCGGCGAAGCCGGCTTCAAGCAAGGCCTGGCGGACGGGGACATCGTGCAAGTGGAGGAAGACGGAAAGATCTTCTTCAAGTATTGCTCGATGGAAATCCAAAGGAAGTCTGGAGTCGAGACGTCTCAGGACTTGAAGAAGCAAGTGGAAGGCAGCGACGAAGCTGACAAGCAGTTTCAGGGCTACGTGGACGGCTTCCAGCCGGAGTTCTGCGAGCTCAAGTACTGTCCCTCTACCTTCCAGCCCCTGCAGCCGCCAAGGACTTTGGCCATCTGCGATGGCCTTCTGGAGACCGACCCAGCTGTGCCCGTTCCAGTGGATGCCAAGCAGCTTGGCAAGATCGAGGATGCTTTGTCGTGGATCAATCAGGCAAAATCTGCCACGTTCAAGCTCAAGGTTGCAAAGAACAGCTCCACCTTCCAGCACCTGAAGGGCCAGCTGGACAACAAGTGGGAAAGTCTGCTACCACTGCAGCTGCAGCTGGAGCAGATCAAGCTCACGGGCAAAGTTGCTCACACGAGTTTCAAAAGCCTCATGGTGAACGTGGGGAATAGTTTGTTGGAAGTGCAAGAGTTGCTGAAAAGCATCTCTGTGCTTAGCTAGATCTGACAGATTCCATCTGTCCCTCGATCTGGCAATTCATGCAGAGGGCCGAGGTTTGAACCTCGGCGTTCAGGAAGCAAAGTGTTTGCAGGGGCTGGCAAAAGTGAAAAAACCACAGGGGAAGCAACGAGAAGCTAAAGCTAGAGATGCAGCTGAAGCCGGCATGTGTTGTGTTGGTGCATGAGTGCATGTGTGTTTCATCCGCAGCTGTTTCAGCTCAAAGAGCGACCGGGGCAAGTGGATGCCCGAGAAGAGAAGGTGGGACTGGGTAGAGGGTTTTCCTTTTCTTGTTGCAGGGTGGTGAGGAGGCAACCTGAGCTATCTCGTGAGGATTGGTGGCCAGGGTCTTCACGGAGAACCTTCACCAGACCACTCCTTAGGGAGGTTTGGCGGTGAAGGTCTCTGTTGAAGATCTCTGGCCAGACCACTCTCGAGAAGCTGGGGCCTCTGACGGGCCTCCTTTAATCCCTAAAAGCTTCCCTAATTGCCTGCTCCCTAAATCCCTGTGTGCAGGTGCCCTTCTCCGTGGACGGCGGAGTGGTCAGTGGTGGACAGCATGCCCGCCTCAGAGTCGAGCTCGGAGAGCCAGGACCGCGACAAGCGGGGGGAGGCTTCTATGCCGATCCTGACGGAGGAGCAGCGAAAGAAAATGAATGAAGAGCTCCAGGAAAAACTGGAGGCTGCAAAAAAGGAGCTGCGATCTGAGAAGGATCCGGAGGACAAGCCGAAGGCCAGCGGGGAGCCGGAGCCTGAGCAAAAGGAAAAGGATCGTGACGGCCGCAGGCGGCACCGGCGATCCGAAGAAAGGGGCCGCCGTGAAGGCTCAGGCCGCCGCCGCCGTGACACGGATGGCTCTGGCCGCCGCCGTGACACGGACCGCCGGCGTGACACGGGCCGTGCCGAGGCAAACGAGCCAGACCCAGGCATCGTCGTGGAGCAGGAGGCAAGCACGGCCGGGCTCTACTGCCGGTGGTATGGGGTGGACGGCTGCCGCAAGTACCTTAGCAGCAGCTGGGCATACAAGCAGCACCTGGCGTGCAAGCACGGATTCTCGAAATCCTTTGCAGAGACTTTCGTCTCCAAGCAGTGGAAAGAGCTGGAGGACCACCTGGGCCCTGTCCCGCCACCGGAGCAGGAGGAACAGCGTCCGAAAGCCTCGCTGCGGCCAGCTGCAGAAAGGGACATGCGACGTCCTGCTGAGCCCGCTCGGCCACCGAAAGCGCCCAGATCCAGCTCCGAAGCCCCTTCGGTACCTTCGGCCCCTTCGCAAAGCTCTGATGCAAATGCTGCAGGCATTGAGCTGTTGCGGGCCATGTGGCAGGATGTGGCAACCAGGGTCTTCAAAGAGTGATGGAGGCCTCCCGCTTCTGCGATGCAGCTGCGATCCCTGCAGACTCTTCCGGATGCCTTGGAAAAAAGTGGCGTCGCGTTCACCCTTACCCTAAACCCGAAACCCCTAAACCGTGAACCCTAAGCCCTAAACCATCAACCCTAAATCCCTAAGCCCCTAAACCCTAAACTCTAAAACCCTCAACCCTAAAACCCTAAACCCTAAACCTTAAACCCTAAACCCTCGGCTAGAAGTGGCCGTACCCTGGACCCTAAACCCTACGTAAAACCCTAAGTCCCTAAACTCTTTTGCTTGTGTCTCTCAGCTTTAGGTTTTCGGGGTTTGCAGGGTTATATGAGGGATAAGGCTTCAGCGTTGTTTGGCGCTTCTAGGATCGTGCGGTGCAAAATCTCGTGCTTCGTCATGGGCTGTTTTAGCTGAAGTGGCCTGCGAGTTTCTCCTGGGAGGTTTGGCGGCCAGGGTCTTCGCGGAAAACCTTCACCAGACCACTCTCTCGGGAGGTTTGGCGGTGAAGGTTTCCGTCGAAGAACCCTGGCCAGACCACTCCCAGGGAAGCTCGGAGGGAGCTGGCCGAGGCCTTGCGGGCAGGGCCCCGAGCTGGGAATTTCCAGTCCGAGGCACTGCCCCGAGCTGCGAATTTCCAGTCCGAGGCACTGCCGAGGCCCTGGCGCCCACGGCTGCAAGCGGAAGTTTAGCGGAAGTTTCCGCGAAACTTCCACACCCAGGTGTGGAAGTTTCCACGGTTCAGTGGAAGTTTCCAGTGTTGGGGCGTGGAAGTTTCCACGTTTGAGTGGAAGTTTCCAGTGTTTATGTAGAAGTTTCCACGGCTTACTCCTGTACTACTACTCTACTACTACTTTACTACTACTGTACTTCTACTGTACTACTACTGTACTACTATACTGTACTACAACTCTACTACTACTGTACTACTGTACTACTGTACTACTACTGTACTACTACTATACTACTACTGTACTACTACTGTACTACTACTGTAATACTACTGCACTACTACTGTACTACTACTGTGCGATACAGACCAAAATATCGGCGGTCTTAATAATGCGTTTTTTTCTGGGGGGTG